TGTAGTTGCATCCACTAAACAGGATTATGTTCATGTGTTCATCAGCAGGAAGTTATTGAAGTTATCAAAGCAAACATGTCTGGAATCAGTTTTACTGTAACCTGTGTCTCTAAGTGTGTGTGCTGCTGTGATGAGTGGATGTCCCCGCCGTGGGACTAATAACATTTACTCTATTCTATCATATTCATTCATATCAGCCAGTAGGAAATAAAACGTTTGAGGAGTTTTGGCCTTTCCAGGCTTCCGTACAAGTAACCTGGTTATAGAGGAGGGTTGTCTCACAAACAGGTGAAGTGGTGAATGAAAACATTAGAAATCCTAATGTTTTCATTCACATGTCACCAACTAATGTAGGAGGGAACATGTGAGTGAGTCACCACGGTGGGAAGCCCAGCTCGCTGTGAGCGAGAGCAGCGATCTGTGGCTGATGATTGAAAACCATCGACATAAATATACTGGACAATTCATTTCCATAGGCTCCAATAACACGTTTTTGAGGCTAAATGGGAGGTGGCCACCACCGCCATTTTGACCGTGTCACAGGTTCCGTCAAGCCCAGACAATTCCACAAAAGGGAAGAGAGGAGGAGCTGAGGGTGGGGCTGTAAGGCTGGGATCAACTGACGACACCCGGTCGAACTAGCTACAAGCTAACCTGAAGCTAACCCAAAGCTAACGCGGAGGTGGGAGGTAGCAACCTAGCTACAACCGGACTTAACTGTGCACAACACCAGAGCTTCTGAGTCAGATACGCCGGGCTGACCGCTGGGTAAAACTCGGTGGAACACAGAGGTCTCCGAGAGCTCCACAAGCCGGCAGCCGCACGGCAGACAAGCGCCGCTGCGGTCTGAGATGTGCAGAGCTGCCGCTGGGGAGAACCGGGTGGAAAGGTTTCCATCCCAGAGCTCCACAAGCCGGCAGCCCGCGCAGCAGACAGAGATGCGCCGAGCTGCGGGGAGGGGAGAACGGGTGGAAAACATCGGTCTCCCGAGAGCTCCACAAGCCGATAGTGGGAACCCAGCTCCACCAACATGTTATATTTCAACCCATTTTCTAAAGTGCAGCATTATGTTAAATGCACTGGGTTTTACCCTATTACATTTACATTTCATGGTTAAACAGTACATGTTAAAATCTAAGCTCAGCTCGGCAGTGACCTAAAATTCATAAATATAATTTTACTTACCGAAAAAAAAAGAAGTGGAGACTCCTTGGACGCTTTATTAGTTCAATTAATGCCACAGCAAGTCATTTTGTCCAACAATTGCACAAAAAATATCCAAAAAGAAAACACACACACAGAGACTCAAAATCCCGGAGCAGTTTCCAGGCCAGACCGAGGCTCTACTGAGGCCTGTCCTCGGAGCTAGCTCTGTGGTCACGTGGGTCTGATCCTCATTAATTATACAGAATTTTAGGCTTTTAATACACTTAAACAGAAGAGTGAGAAAAGCATTCACCCCCCTCAGAGTTGTCATGAGTGTAAACTAGATCATTTAAACCAAAAACATGTTCTGGTACCAGGCTGTAAACATGTTTATTTCTGCTGTGAAATTAGTATTTTTAACATGGGAGTCAATGAGGATTTGCTCGCTTCTGACACCAGCCCCTAGTGGATGAGGGTGGAGCTGCAATTTTTGGTACTTCCGAGATTGCTTCAATTTTAGAGACACATTGTGGGGGCTTGGTGAAAACTAAAGAAAAACATTCGGGACTGAAGTTCCGTCAACACCGGCTGGCGACGCGGCTGCATTTCTAAATAAAACATGTCTTTTTGGCGGCGCGCGCAGCTGCAGCTCACGGTTCTGGGAGAACCGGGCATCCCCGTCCCATCAACAGCAGGTGGAGCTCACCGCTCCGCCCGTCTCACAACCAGAGCGGGGGAAAGCACATGGGCTTGGATTATACAGATGGGATTTTGTGTGAATTAATGCCAGTTAAAGTATTACGTAAGTGTTTTTGTGTGCTTGTTGTTCAGTAGCTAATGCTATAACTAATATCATCTGTTTTTATTTTTCATACGCCCTACACACTGTGTGTGATGCGCATTTGGGGAGCGCAGACGCTGGTTAAGCGTGAGAGATTGCAGTGTGGTGTGAGAGCGTGTGAAGAGGGTCAAATGCGTGCGTCTCACGCTCAGTACATGAGAGTTGGCAGCTCTGCAGAGTATTTTAGGGGAACTTAATTTCCCACAACACCTGTTTCAGGTGGATCATGGTGCGCTCAATGTTCACAAATATTTCCAAATTCACCGAACTTATTGTCCATTTTGAGGACTGAACGACCTCAAATAAAAGATGGTAAAACTGAGTGAGATTACATGCTTTTGCATAACTTTCAAAAATGATGAATAAGCTTGATACAGAAGAGTGAACAAGAATGTTTTAACTGTATCATTTTTATTGTTTTTAAGAGGAAATATACATAAAAAAGCACAAACATGACATTATTACATTACATGACATAATTTTACTGTAAAAGTTGATCACAAAAGTTGCGATGATAGCCTGAAGTGAAAGCTTTATAAATAAAGCTTTGATTGATTGATTGATCTCCCGACACGGGAGACAGAATATTTCAGGGGAACACAATTTCTCACAACACCTGACCTCCTGGCTGACATCACCCCTCCACCGTGAGTGAATGGTGACAGCTTCGAGATCTAATGGGCCGTTCCCATCTGTACCGGGTCGGCCCGGGCCGGGTAGCGTAGGTTGTTTACATATCTGGGTGGCCTGGTATTTTTCCGGGCCAACCAAGGCTCATTCTCAGCCCTCTTCTGGAGGGGGTCTGCTTCAGGCCGACCAGGGCCAACACACCCACTGCTGACAGCAAATTCACACCTTCCATTAGAGCAAGCCTCTGATTGGTGGGTAGAATCAGCCCACATGGGCTTAAGACAAGGATGTGTGGAATCAGCCGGGCCAGGCTGGGGCCGACTGGGGCTACCCGGCCCGGACCGACCCGGTACAGATGGGAATGGCCCATAACAGAACTACCTTGCTTCCATCAGAACTGGTAGGTTGATAAACAGTCATAATTAAAAATGCTTTTTTTTAGTGGTCAAGTAGCTTGTTTTAAGCTTTGTGCGGGTTAGGCTGCACAGGTTGGAAGTTGATTTTACAGTCAGACTCGTGAGTGGGCCACCGTAGCTGCACTGCTTTCTCTGAACTGCGTGGGGCTAAGGAGTCGCATTTTTCCATCATGATTTCAGTGGATTTCACACACGGGGCATTTAAAGGGACTTCACGGAGTTTTGAATATTTATGCTCGCGATTGCTAAAAGCGTAACGGCAGCTTCAATAGTAGGCTCGTGCACGAGGCGCGCATGCTGTACGTGCACACTCCTTAACGAAAATAACAGCTGAGACAGTCCCTTGTGTGTGTGTGTGTGTGTGTGTGGCCCGGAAGACAGAGGACAGGAAAACGTGCACCTAATTAATTAAATAATGTGGTTCTGTACCTTTCTCTTCAGCACAGCCAACAAAGGTTTATGATGGGTCAGTCCTCCTGCATGCTCAGATCATTCCCTTCCCTTGCTTGAAAAATTGTTCCAAAATGAAAGTTGAACCCACATCTTTTTTATCTGTGAATTCAATGCCGTTCGGCGAGTCTCAAATTAAAATTTGGGCATCTTACTGTAAAAAAATATACCATTAATGTAAAAAATAAACTCTAAATGAACTATGTTCACATCCTGTTTAGCTCTTTGCAGGGCGTGCCTCGCGTCTGGCACGCATCTGAGCGAGACTGAGTGCTCTTTTAAAATAAATTACTTGACTTTATTTAGCAGCTGGTGAACTAGCAGGCTGCCCGTCTTTCTATAATTCGTTTAGCCAAACCGCTTGTTGGCTTTGTTTTTATCCGTTTCTTTCCTTATACATCTTTGGTGCGTTCTCACTGTGTCTTGTTTCTAATTCCATTTTTGGAAGCTCTGAGGATGTTTTGCAGTCGGCACACAAAACTGTCAGCAAGGTAAAGAGAAACCTTTCCCGTGTCTTAAAAAGAAGCAAAAATGGAATTAAGTTTCTTTCTTTTATTGCAGCCTGCTTGCTCCCAGTGGGCACCATCGGCATTGGTGGCGGGAGTTTTTCACGTGTGTGTGTGTGTGTGTGGATGCATGGCACTGTGACGGGTGACTTTGGTTTGGTGTGTATTCTTTGGTTGGCTGAATTGGACCCTGGTAAGCTTCAGCCTGTTCAGCTCAATTTAGTCTCTTTTCTTTTCTATTTTAATAAAAGCATGTTGTTGGTCAGACCACGTCTCCTGCCTGGTCTCTAGAGGGGACCTGTGTCTATTTCCTGGGGTGAAACTCCCCAGGTGGCGTTGTGTGTGACCGGCAACTACAGCAACCCCGGATCCACATTAAATCGTAGAGATACAGCTGTGGATGACGGCTGGAGACGGGGTTCTTGCCCTCCAGCTTCCACGGATGAGCGGGTCACCCGGATGTAAACAATCTTTTTCACTGGGTCTATAGTTAGAAATACAATAAATGTTTATAATCTCAAACGTTAAGAGATCCAGGAAGACTCAGCCTTTGGGATTGGAGGTTTGTGTTAAACTCTGAAGGTTGGTAAATGAAGTCTGGATCAGAAAAGGCTGATGTTCGTACGACTGCGTTAAAACTAACGGTTGGTATGCTCCCAGATCAATGGTGGGGTAACTCTGGTGTGGTCTGATAAATGAAGGTAAGTGCTCCTAACCGTTCTGATTATTTAGGTCAGATTATTAATTTCAGATTAGATTTATAAAAAAATAACCCATCTAAACCAAAGGCGACCCCTAGAAAATTGCTGCATACAAAATTTTCTGGAGGCGCCCGTCATGTAAACATGATTATGGTCTGGAAGAGCGTGCCGGCAAAGCCAGACCCAAAACTGTGCTGCTGTCATTGAATACGGAGCAGAACTGATCAAGGACAGGCTGAGCAGCGGGGCTCGGGTGGGTTTTATAAGACTGGTGAGGTCCAGAGTCATGTGGAGACAAGAACAGACATCATCAGGTTTGACCTTTAATGCAGAAAAACAAAATAAATGAGGGAGGGCCTGGGAGCTAAAGGCCTACATGTTTTCCACTGTAGTCTCCAGGCAACGTTACCATAAACCCAAATGTCCGCGATGCAGACCGAACCCAACAGGGCCTCTGGGGAGGAAAGGAGCTTCCCCACTCTTTATTTCTCTAGTCAGATGTGGGTAGATGTGCAACAGCGACTAACACAAACACGAACTTCTGATGTGCACACGCTCATCAGGACTCAAACATGTTCGTTAACTCAAACTGAAAAGATGAGATCATCAAAAACAGGAAGGATGCGTTTCCTCTCCTGTGGGCTAGGCATCTGCATCGGATCCTGTTTTACCTAGAAAATGTTTCACTATCAGGCACTTACTCAGGGACTCCACACACACACACACACACACACACACACACACACACACACACACACACACACACACACACACACACACACACACACACACACACACACACACACACACACACACACACACACACACACAGTCTCTTAACATTGACTGCATGGTGGTGCAGTGGTTAGCACTGTTGCCTCGCAGCATGAAGGTTGCAGGTTCGAAACTCGGCTGAGGCCTTTCTGCGTGGAGTTGCGTGTTCTCCCCATGCATGCGTGGGTTTCCTCCGGGTAGTCCGGTTTCCCCCACAGATCACAACACGCCCTATAGGTTATAAGTTGTAAGTCGCTTTGGATAAAAGCGTCTGCCTAATAAATAAACATAAACTCCTTCACTGTAGACAGCTTCCTGAACAGCCTCTGTTCAGAGACATGGTTTACATCCTTTAGGACTGATGAGCTAACGGCTAGTTTGAAGCAACAGTGGTGGGAGGGTTTAAACAACAATGTCTCGTATGTGGTAGTGACACTTAGGCTATCGTAGCATGTTTCCAGACAGCAGCGACACACTGGTCTTTGCTTCACTCCTACTAGCTGTTGGCTCCTCAGTCCTGAAGGCTCTCATCTCTGTTTCTCTGAACAGAGGCCATTGAGCAGTAAAATAGGAATTGTAGCACAGCAAGCTCCAGAAAGGCCTTCATTAATCGTTAGCATTATTAGAGAACTCTGACTTCTGCAGCAGCATTAGCTTCACACCTGAGGGAGATCAGTGGACAGACGTCTGGATTGTGGCTTTATTGCCCAATACAGACGAGAACTTTAGCTGAGTAAGCAAGGTGGTGCGTGCGTGCGCACGTCTGCAGCACCACCGAAGGAGTGGAGGCCGACTTTATCATCAGTCTGTCCAACTGGTTCTTCAGTCACATGTTCTATTAAAGCACCTGTTAAGATCCCCTTCTCGTTGGTCTTAGAGAGAAAAATGATGGAAATCAACTGTAGGCATTAAAATACCATCTTTAACCATCTTTACACAGACATGAAAACAGGTCAAAGGTGAAAAACGTGAGACTAAAATATAGTTATGGAAGCAGCAGACATTCTGGATCTAAAACCTTTGTGGAAGGAAACGACGCAGCGGAGTCGTTTAATACATTCGAATATAATAAAGTACCTAAACACGTTCTCATCGGAAGCAATAAGACCCTCTCTGTACTGTATAATGGGGGGGGGCATGTTTTGTACGTGTCCCTGCTCACACACACACCTGATTCTGTGTTGGGATGGTTTTAACTCCGCAGCAAAGCTTTTGTTTTCCTTCTGCTAACAAGTTTCTGCTCCTCGGAGAAGAGGCCGACACGTTTAGCCACATGTCCCAGTCTCGTCCTCAGCTCTGTGGACGGGGACAGAGACGGGCGATGGGGGGGGGGGGATGTCATTTCCCACATTCTACTGCTTTATAACAGGTGATTTAATTATATCCAAATTAATGTTTTTAAATTAACTTCAGAAATTAGCTTTAAAAACAACAAATGATCAAAGACAAATATGAACGGATGAATTTGTTTGAACCCAACGGTCTCATTTGAAGAGTGACGAAGCACGAACCGGGCCCTGCTGCTGACAACCATAAAGAATCTCTCTCTCTCCCGAATGTGGCTCATCGCGCTCTAACCTGACCCGACCCATCAGGACCACTCGGTTCGGATCGTACGAGTGGAGCCGTCTGGTGGTCTACACAGGAGACCTCTAGACAAGATGCACGGATTTATTGACCGGTATTTGTTTATTTATTTGTTGCACTGATGGTGTTGTTAAGAATCCTTGTGAATATTTCCCCTCATGATGAATATTAAATAAGAAAGAAAACCACCTTTTCTACAGCGGCTCTCAAGATGAAACTCACACGGTGCTTCACAAAAACAAAACATTTAAATATAAAAAAGATTTCAAAAAATGATTAAAAATGTTTAAAATAAGAAAAAAAATTGTGATAAAACATTTAAGGGGGAAGAGAAAATGAAAAGGAAAGAGGGGAATTGGTGGATTTAACCCCCCCCCCCCTAAAGGTGCAGGATTTTCATGCTTGTTTACAGGAGCAGGTCTGGATTTGGTGTCCACCTGAATCTCTCCTGTTGGGGACGCGGCCGCGGCGCTCAGAGGAAGCAGAGGTTACATCAGGTCACCAACAGCCAGACGTGCAGAACACTCATCCGTCTGCTTAAACAGGAACAAACGACTCGCTTTTGGTTTTGTTTCTGGGAGACGCCGTCACTGAGGAACAGCAGCAGCAAAGGCAAAAACATGATGGTTCCCCCTAGTTACATTCATAGCCGAGTACCTAATACAACACTGACGGTCTACTCGGCGCACTACTGATGAAAAGCCTTTTGGTTTATTCAGCTACAACATCAGACAGTTGGTTTGATTTGAGGTGACAGGAATCTAGGAGGGAGGCCGACTTGGACACGATCCGAAACAAACCAGCGACTACAGAAGCCGACCCAAACCAGTCGGTTGGTTCTATAGACCACCCGTTAAGGACGCGTTTAACTCTCGGCCGATGCTCTCCTTAGCGTCCACTGGCAGCGTGTCAAACAGATGGTCCTCCACAACGAGACCACTTCTGCGCAGCAGCCGGCAGTTCCCCAGCGTGGCGGGCAGTCGGTCCAGACAGTTCCCTCTGAGCTCCAGCTGAGTGAGCTGGACCAGCTGGCCGACGGCCTCCGGCAGAGCGCTGAGCGCGTTGTGGCCCACACTGAGCACCTTCAGCTTGGTGCACCTGAATAAAGACTTTGGCAGGATCTCCAGCTTATTGGAGTTGATGGCCAAGTGCTGGAGGTTGTTGAGGGAGCCCACATCTGGTGGGAGCACTGCTATGGAGTTGTGACTCACATCCAAGTGTCGCAGTTTAAGAAGAGTGAACAAGGCCGGAGGTAAAGACTCCAGCTTGTTGTGAGACAGGTGGAGAGACTCCAGGGTCTTCACCTGTCCGATGGATGCAGGGATGGAGATTATTTTGTTGTGCCACAGTTTAAGGCACGTCAGCCTCTTCAGGTGCTGGAAGCTGATGATCTCCTCTATCGTTCTGATGCTGTTGGACTTCAGGTCAAGTTCCTGCAGGTTGGTCAAGCTGAAGATGGCATGAGGGATCCGCTCCAGTTCACAGTTGTTCAGCTCCAGTTCAATCAGGCTCGTCATTTTCTTCAGACTGTTCAGGACCAGCAGTTTCGTCCCGTCGTTGTGCACCACCAGCCGAATCAGATGTGGCGACAGATCGGTGATGTTGGTGGGGATCTTTGTCAGGTTGCTCTTCAGACATAAAGTCTTTAAATGCTTCAGATCCCTCATCGACTCCAGACAAATCATTTTGTTGTTTTCCGAGTTCAAGTTGCCAGTCAGGTTGAGTTCCCTCAGACCCCGCAGTAAATAGACCCAGGTTGGGATCTCGGCCACATCTGTGAACTTGACATGAAGGCATCGGAGATGATCCCGGAGGAAGTTGAAGCCGGACTGCTCTACTTTGGCTGGACAGTGACACAAATGCAGCTCCTGCAGGCTGGTCATCTGGGAGACCTTTGCAGAGAACCTCACTTCCGGAATCAGCTCCAGCTTCAGAACTTCCAGGTCAGTGAGGTCAAACACGGCGTTCGGGAGACCGGACAGCATGAACAGGTGCAACTCCTGCCGATCTTGAGCATTAGTGACGTGTTGCTTCAACTTCTCAAAGGTCCACTCGTGGTTGAGACTGATCTCCCTCAGCTTATTCTCACTGACTTCAGACAAGAAGACACCAAAGCGTTTGGAGTGAAGCTGGTCGTACTGGTCAACCATGTGTAGGAGGAACGCAAAGTCGTTTTTGACATCAGGAATGTCACTGAAGCTGCTTTCTTCTCTGACCTTCTCAAAGGAATACTCTTTTAGAGGTCTTCGAAACACCCAGAACAGCGAGTAGAGGCATGTGATCCCATAGATCAGGATCAGAGCCATGTAGGTGATGAGCAGCTTCTTGAGCATGAAGGCCATGTTGTGAGTACAGAAGAACTTCTTATAGCCCGTCAGGTGTGTTATGTCGGGTTTACACTCGTGCTTAAAGTTGATTTCGGCCAGGAAGGTTGACGTGTAGCACAATATTAGGATGAATTTGAACGTCTTGACTGCAGTCTGACCTACGTAAAGCTTGTAAATCAAATCGCTGTCCTCCACGTGGGCTCGGAACTTCCTCACCTTCTCAAACAGAGCTTTGGCCTGCTCCCCGTCCTTTTTATCCAGGATGGTCATACTGCTGGGTGCCTCGGCTATGGGCTTGTCTGCAGAAAACTTGACTCCAAGCATGGGTGTGGATGGGCTGTCGGTGTTGTCGTCCTTCCCCTCTAAAGACACCTGCTTCGGTGTTGAGGAGGCACTGGTCAGTCTCTGTTTGTTCTCCTCAGAGTCCTCACAGGCCGTCTCGGACAGAGCCTTGGTCGTCCACGGGGACTCGAAACACCGACCCAGAATGGACACAAAGTGCTCGATCTTTGAGCTGGTCTTGGGGTATTTGAACCAGAAGTTGCTACTAACCATGAGAATGATGGTGTGGATGAGTGTGAGGTATGGAAAGTACTTGGAGTACCAGGGTAAGGCATCGTGATAACATATTTGGTTGATAAAAACGTACTGTTGGAAGTCCAGGTTGGTGATAACCCCTCTGGGTTTAGGCTTATTGGTGTACTTCTCTTCAGCCAAAGCAGTGTGTTGTGTTGTGTGGATCTGATGCACAGCTGGGGTTGGGACTGAAGACCCGGCTGCAGCTGCAGACGAGGCTTCCTCTGGTGCTGTCGGACCAGGGAAACAGTGACCGTTACCGGCTGAGTCCTCCATACAAGGAAGACAGGCCACATTGTCCCTGGTGATCTGCATGGTCATCGCAAACACGGCCAGCATGAGCATGACCAGTCCCAGGTAGTCCATGAACACATCCCACCATGGTTTTAGGATTTTGTACGTTGGCTGGATGTCATTCAAGGATGCAACTTCAGTCAAAGTGAACATCCCTGCAACACAAAGCGGACCAGTGGTTTGATTAGCATCGTCTTTCATTTCATCATTTCAAATAAAAAGATCAATAACTGAATACAGGTGAAACTCCCAAAATAACAACATGGTGCTGAAGTTCAGTTACTTCAGGAAAAGGCGCTCAGACCAAGTATGATTTTACTTTTTCAGAGGTTTGATGTCTCTCTAATTAATCCTTGTTTTATTGATTTCATGTAATCTTCTAACGGTCATCAGCTGTAAGCCCTAATCATCACAAATAAAGTCTGAAATACCTGGATGTGCATGGCATGAGTCAGTCTCTTAGATTAGTTTGACCTTTAAGGCTGGATTACTGACATAAATACCAGTTTCTCCTGATATTATGATTTCAGATTCATTTATATTTCCCGGCCCATTTATTGGTGCGTTTGTTAGTGTCAAGTAAAGATGTTGGTTTTATCACACTTAAAATGACAATAATGGTGACGCCTGTCTCACTGAATGTTGAAGGGTTTTGGGTGTCTTTCAACCGGAGCAAACAGGCTAGAGGCAGAAAGTCGTAGGCCAGCTATGAACAACTGGTTCACACCGTGGGTTCACACACAAACAGCAAGGGGGAGGGGTGTGTCGAGGAAAAGAGCAGAGAGGAAATGGAGGTCACCAAGTGGTTAAAAGAAAAACTACGAGGCGCGCCTCGAGCGGAGCGTCTGGTCTGAACTGAGGAGCAGCGAGCCGCGGCCGAATTTTGTGAGCGCTTCGGCGGCCGGTGTGTCCCCGGCGTCACAGGTTGTTAAAGCTCTCCAGGTGGGCAGATTACGTAAACGCTGAAAACAAATCAAAGCTGTTGCTGCATTTAGTTAAGGTAAAAGGAAACAGAGCCAAGTTGTTTAAACGCGTGGAAGCAGCCTAGCAGCTAATGAATAAAGCTTGGTTTATGCTTGACGCATTCACTTTCCGCTTGGTGATGCGGCTCGCGGATGGAACGCGCTTCACAACTCGCAGCGTTTATGGTTCATGCTGCTTGTCTCTGCGGTGAGCCAATATTCTCCCAAACTGTAGGGGGCAGCATGGAGCTCTACGGCATGCATCCAACACTACACCATAGTAGAAGTAGAAATCACTGTTTACAACACGGCATTCCAGCATTTTTAACAGCGACCTCATCTTTTCCGACAGTGCGAGCTATTTCTCTCCAAGAATTATTAACAACATGTTGATCACGGTGATCTTTGAGAGCTGAATCATACAAATGTCTGTATTTACCAACCTCTGCCATACTAGTTCTTGCCGGTCCGCCATGTTTTTACGCGTCCGACCGTCCGCGTGGTTAGAAAATTTCCGAGGTGCGCGGTGCGGAAATTTTGGGCCGTGCGGAGGCGCGGTGGAGGGGCGTGGTTGTTAAAATGACGCAATTTCGTCACGCGGAGCCGTGCAGACCTCGCAGATGCGTCAAGCATAAACCAACCTTAAAGCACCACCTGTAACCCAATCATATATTGGCAGGCCCTTTTAACATTTAATCAGTAATCACCTTTTTAAGCCTCATTTCTATTTTCACATAGTAACAATATCATTGATCCTAGTCCAAGTATTATTCTTACTAGTCATCATTGAAATTAAAGGTATCAACAGCTATTTTTTACCAATATTTATTATTTTAAGGACATGTTAGCAACTGCTGTAGAAATAAAGTTTGAGAAAACATAAATCCTTAAAAAGCTAATAGGCTGCCATTTTAACACTTATTAGACAGAATATCTATAAACCTATTTAACATTTCAGATGAGCAGCAGATCTGAGAATGATTTAAAACTTCAGTTTTAGGTAAAATATGACAGATTTCATGTTTCACCAGGTAGTGACGCTGATACAGCAGGTACCATCATGCTGCTGATCACAGCTGATCACTGAGGGACAGAAAATAAATCAGCTTTGTGTTGATTTTTTAGATTTAATATTATTTTGATGGAAACTTTTAGGATTTTGAACAGCTTCCACATCATGTTACTATAGTCACATTTTATTTTGATATATTTATAGATGGTGTTTTCTCTTTATTGTTAAAGGTTCCAGAAATGTTGTAGGGCTTTACCTTTTCCAACATTATTTATTGAAAGACCAAGTTCACTGGTTCTTTCCAACACAACTGCACTGGTCTCTAGTATAAATTAATGCCTTGTGAGTTCATCTGTGTGGGGAAAAGCTCAGCGGCCTCATTCATCAAGCTTGCTTACGCACAAAACGGGGTCGGAAAACTGCGTAAGCAGCTTTCCACGCAAACGTTAGGATTTATGAAAGAAAACTTAGCGGAAAAATGTCTGCAGTGAGCCGATATTCTCCCAAACTGTAGGGGGCAGCATGGAGCTCTACGGCATGCATCCAACACTACACCATAATAGAAGTAGAAATTACTGTTTACAACATGGCATTCCAGCATTGTTAACAGCGTCCTCGTCTTTTCCGACAGTGCGAGCTATTTCTCTCCAAGAATTATTAACAACATGTTGATCACGGTGATCTCTGAGAGCTGAATCATACAAATGTCTGTATTTACCAACCTCTGCCATGCTAGTTCTTGCCGGTCCGCCATGTTTTTCCCCGTCCGACCGTCCGCGTGGTTAGAAAATTTCCTAGGTGCACGGTGCGGAAATTTTGGGCCGTGCGGAGGCGCGGTGGAGGGGCGTGGTTGTTAAAATGATGCAATTTTGCCGCACGGGGCCGTGCGAACCTCCCGGACGCGTCAAGCATAAAACCACCTCACAATTGAGATCTCTGTTTGGCTGACTGGTTAGCGTGCGTGACTTTCACCCGGGAGTCTGGGGATCGAATCTTGATTGGACCATTTTTTTATATCCACCACAGATCTCTGAAGAACTCAGCATTGACGGCTTCAGCAACGCTGTGCCACTCCGTGGATTTTCTCTTATTTGTTTTGCAAAAGCACTTCCTTTCATTTCTCCACCTCACCCACAGGTACCTCAACTTCTACTTGTGAAATAGCACCTCCTTGATCTGCCTTGATCTACGGTCGCCATGTCATTAAAGGAGCGCTGCAACAGCCGGCTTATGTATATGCGTGAGGTCCACAAGGCACTTTGCATTGACCATTTATGGCAGTAAGTGGGAGTGGCGAGGGTGGGATGTGACTAAAAAGCAGCTGAGAAACATTCTCGTTAGTCTCTGATTCATTAAGCGGAGATTGCGTGCAGCTGTGCGTCCTCCATGTTTGATAGATCACAAACCTGCTTGGCGTAAGTACTTTTGTTTTTTTTTTGCTGAGCTTAAGTACGGTTTTAGTAAGGATTCTACGCAGTGTTTGATAAATGAGACCCCTGGTGCTCCTGTTTCAGCAACAAGACGAAAATGGCAGGATGTGGAGGTGTACTCTGTATCATTTACTGATGTGCAGACATCTCGCCTATGATCAGCTGGTTGTTTGGTTGACTTGCTCATGCTAGAGGTCCATCCTGCAGGTAGCAAAACAGCAGGAGACAGCCATTTTCTTTATGCCCCCCAAAAAATTATTCTCTGAAGTTTTACTGTTTATTGTCATAGTGATCACATGGATTGGCCATACATTTTCTACAGTACTACAGGCTGCATGATGTGGGAACAAAGGAACAATAATGTCTCCTTAAATGGTCTGTATTTATTTAGACAAGAAATTTTTTTACTTTTTAAAGAGAAAAAGACTTGCAGCACAATCAGTGTGTTTGTTTTGAACACAACTTCTAAGCCCTACTCACAACCCAAGGGTTAGAGCTGAAAATGTCTCTTGGATGAGACGTCCTGACCAGAAAAGTCCAGATGTCCATGTCCAGGATGACTGAGAATCTACACCTACATGCTGAAGACCCACAATGATTCGGTCAAAACGAAAACAGAAACACTTGAATGTAGCTGCTGTCAGTAACAAACAGATATAAAACATTAAAAGCTCTAAACACTCTAAATAGTGCAGGAAATCAAAAATAAATCACAAACTTGTGTTTTGTCAGATTTATTATCATTAACAATATTATTAATGTTTTTTGTTTTATTTTAACCGTTTTAAAGATATCGGCCAGAGGCAAAATGCCTCTGAAAGGCATGTTTAAGGAAGTATTAAAATCTCAGATGAAAAGGTTTTTGGATTTTGACGGCTGGAATTTAAAGAATATCTGATGTTTGTGACCGGCGCAGGAAAAACAGAAACTAACTTCCGGTCTAAGCCCTGGGCAGCTGGTGACGTTTCACATGGAGCTCTGCTGAAACAGCTGTAGTAAACAACGCCTGACTCCGCTGTTTCTGTGTTAGCGTTATGGCCAGGGTCCGAAATTAAATTTTTTACTCACCGGCCAAGTTGGCTGGTAGATGATGAAAATCTACCGGCCAAGCATATTTTTTACTGGCCAAAATTCTAAATGATTTAGATCTACCTAAAGCATGTAATTCTATATTATGTTGATTCCAAACAGAGTGACAAAATAATTAAAACGTCAATTAATAAGGAAAACAACTCTTTTGTCATTTTTACTATTTATTTATTTATTTTTAGAGATGTTTTTATGAACTCTTTCATTGAAATCTAGTCAGACTCCTTGATTTCTCTGTCCATGAAGTCTGGCCTCCTGCTTCTGACACCGTCTTTGTGCCAAAGCATTACAGCCTCATTTGGGTCCTAGTCCTTGATCTCTGGAGAACACAGCTGCACCATGAGAATATCACAAAGTGTGTCAGGGCTAGGGTTGTCACGGTAACCGGTGTAGCGGCAAACCCCGGTAAAAAAGTTAACAATAATAATAACCGTCTTGTTTTTAAAATATATATATATAATCTTGGTGGATTACCGTGACTGCGGTGTAGGCGCGGTGACCCTTACCAGCCACCGTATCATCTGAAGTTGCCGGCGGCACATGCGCACTTTGTTGTTTACAACCAAAACTTTCTTTAAGCTAAAGCTGAAATAATGGCCAGAGGAGACGGCAGCACTCGGGACATTTATTATCCCTCAAAGAAGACAAAGTCGGAAGTATGG